ATTAGATGATCTTCTATGCCTGGTTTTAAAAACTCTAAAATACAAATTTTACACCCAGCGTGGGGCTCAAACTCACAACCCCGAGATCAAGAGTCACGTGCTCTCCCGACTGAGCCAGCCGGGCACCCTACCCTAAAATACAAATTTTAAATGATCTGTGGCGACCAGAGAGAGCCACGGTACCGATAAATTCAAATCAGAAGTACCCTGAGATTCTGAGCCAATATATTCTCATCTTCTCCCCATCTTAAGACATCAGTGAGAATTTCATTTTTTTTAAAGATTTTATTTATTTGACAGACAGAGATCACAAGTAGGCAGAGAGGCAGGCAGAGAGAGAGAGAGGAGGAAGCAGGCTCCCTGCAGAGCAGAGAGCCCAATGTGGGGCTCGATCCCAGGACCCTGGGATCATGACCTGAGCCGAAGGCAGAGGCTTTAACCCACTGAGCCACCCAGGCGCCCCAAGAATTTCATTTTTAAAAGCACACGCTGCCCTGATTATTAAAGACAATGGACAAGAACACAGCAGTATTTGGATGCGTTGGTTGTTTTAAAGTTCAGGATTATAATTTTGCACTGAAACCTCGTCATGAAACTGCCTTTCCTGCAGTCTTGTAAGCCTTGTAAGCAGGAGCAAGCAGGAGCCAGACCATGAGCCATGTGAGGACCATATTTGGTGGTTGCAGGAATGCTTTCTTCTAGGTGAAGCTGCCACGTGCAGGGCTCGGACTAGCACCCATCTCTTGATTAAATGAATAACTGGGACTTTTTAGCCACAACCTCCTCTCAGTTAACCCCAGGGGAAAGTGATAATAAGCAACAATGACCCAAGAGTATTGGCTTTATCTGCCAGGTGGTGAGTGAGAAGCTAAGAGGTATGGAGAGACCACAGAAAGGAGAATTCAGGGATGACACTGCCTCTCACACGCGGTCAGGGATGCGTGGCCAATTGTCTGTCATCCCTTCTCTCTTAACTACTCTGATTCAGTGTTTATTCCCTTTCCTCTGGGATGAGTTCAGGTTTGGTTGGCTCCTCTTTTGTCCCAGCAGCAAAGGATTCAGAAATGCTGCCTTCAGATTCCGGGATCTCCTTGTTACTACCATGAGGCCTTACAGCACACCTATAAATAGGTTTCAGTGACTTCATTTTCCAGAGAAAAGTCATGTGAATGTCAGAGGTGGAAGGAATTTTACTTTTACAGATGATGCTTGGAAAGGTGAGGGACAGGCAGGCTGCCCACACAAAAGCAAGTTGTATAAAATGGGGTGGTGGGTGGACCACAACAACTTCGAGTCCCCAGAACTCATCAGACCGCATGAGCTAATTACAGCCTTGTGTTCAAGGGCCTCTCATTCCCCTTTGCTGCTTCTCACATTTTCTTTCTTCTTCGTCTCCTGTTCACAGCAACAGGAAATCACCACTCCTAATTTGTACACTTGCTGTTTAAGTCTCCAGGAATTTTCCATGCCTTATCAAGTGGAGGGTTTCATGGAGATTTAGAATCTGCTTAGGCAATAGACCAAAATATTTTTTAAAACATTAAATGAAGAATCTGACTTGTTGCCAGCCGAACAGAGGCTTGAGAAAAGCACCCCACTCTCCCTGTTCCCTAAAGTTTTCTGATCCATCTTTGGACTGTCGGTTCCACCATATAGATTCCACCATAGAGATTCCAAGAAGTCATGGGCCAGAAAGTGGTGGGGGAGCAGGGAAGTGGGTGAGGATAAATTAGAATGGCCAGGATGAGGTCAGCCCAGAAATTTACCCTAGAATACCCTGGGATAGTTGCTAACCACAGAGTCTGGGTTTCATCCTCTGGAATTGTTGCTGCTGCTTATTCCGTGGGGCTCTGGGAGAAGGTGTCGTTTAGGGGAAAAAGCAGAAAGACAAAATGGAAGGGGGGAAAAGTTCACTCCCCCATTGAAATGCAAGCAGAGAACCTATAGACTCTTGTGTCCTGTTTTTTTAAGTACAGTGTTTTTAATAGACCAAAAGAGAATCTTGATGAGGTAATGTGTATGTGAGTGATGTTTATAAAATGTAATGTAAAATCTTAATCATTATGGACTGTTGTATAAGTAAAGCTTAGGTATATAAAATATAGAAACTTATAAAAAATTATTTTATAGAGCAGGGGACACTTAAGGACTTTGAAAGTTTTCATATCTTTGTTCCAAAAACTAGAAAGTTCCAAGGCTGGAAGCTTATTTCCTTAGTATATTCCACTGTAAAGGCAAGAAGTTTGGTCAGGTTTTATGTGTTTTCTAGTTTTATAATTTATAACAATCTGTATGGATTACTTTGAAATGTCTGTTGCTTGTGTGTTCATGTTGTTTGCCCACAGGGAGACATCAGAAATTTGTTCCACACTTTGCATCTTGGAAAACCAAAAGAAATTTTCTAGTGAAAAGAAAAATACATAGAACATGACTTCAGTGTTGGGAAACCCTCGGATTTGTACCACTGACAGCTCTTTGCAGGTCTGAGGAAAGGGAAGTTTAATACCAGAGTTGTCTCTTACGTCAATATTGGGTGTTGGTTCACTTTTCTCCTGGGAAGAAAGCATGTATTTTGGGTCCCTTTTTCCTCCACCTGACATGTGGAGGAAACCAGAAGTCAGGGCCTTAAGCTGCCTTGCTTTGGGACCACTCTCCACCATCAGCTTTCAAAGAACTGTCCACATCATATTTCTGTTTTCTGTTCCATGATTCCGTGGTAGAACCACTGCTTTTTGGAGCCCACAGTTTTGTTTGGGTTTGTGGCTCTAATGAGTTTGCTTTTTACCAGCCAGACTAAAGAGAAGTAGTCAAGGGAAACAGGAGTCGCCTTGCTGGACAGGTCCTCCTGCAGCTCCCACCAGCACAGGAGGCCCACGCCAGAGACCAGGGCCCACAGTACCGTCTGCTCTCCACACAGGGAGGGGCCCATCATGCCAAAGTGGAGGCATTACCCAAGTCCCCTCTGTCAGAACTGCGTACTGTTCCCAGCTGGAAGCCTGTGAAGCCCGATGTGTGTTTTAGCATGGAACAATAAAACCCGTTTAGTTGTCCCTCGGGCCTGGTTTTTTCAGTAGCTGGCTTGGAGGGGGAACATGTTATCACAGATTAAATATCAACATTGAGCACTTGATTTTCCCAGAGGACGTTGGTTCCTGGCAGCTGCTCAGGACTGTCCAACAGAGAGGGCCAGGAGGAGAGGAATCATTTTGTCAGATGGGAATGGCTGAGGATCTGTGGGGATGGCTGCCACAACCTCTCAGAGTTCCCCAGGCTGGGTTCATCTCTGGAGAGCAAACTCCCAGCTTGGATGACCACGCGGGCCCAGGAAGACCTCTTGGCCAGAAGCCTTCTCCGCTTGCTTATTAGTGCAGAGGTTAAGAGCATAGCCTCAAGCACCTAACTGCCTGTCACCTAACAGCTATGTGGCCATGGCCAAACCACTTAGCTACTCTGTGGCTCGGGTCCTTTTCTGGAAAAAGGAGCTATAATAGCATCTTCTTGAGGGGTGAAAGGATTAGATGTCTTAAAACACTTAGAGCACTTTGAACAGTGCCTGGCATACACAGGTAGCCACTAAAACAGGTTTCCCACCTTCACAATGTTTGCCACACCTACCAACCACCCACACTGTTATTTACGTAACATTATTTGAATGGATTCCACTTTAATCTAAAATTTAATTGAAAACTTTACATCCCAGGTATAAATGGGAAACTAACATAATTTGCTGTGAACATAAAGTAGCAGTTAAAGAGTTATAACAACTCCTATTTACTGAGTCCTTGCTACTTGCCAGGCAGTGGGCTAAGAGTCTTGACTTCTGAGAATCCTCACAGCTCTCTGAGGTCAGCATCATCCTTTTACAGATGAAGAAACAGAGGCACAGAGGCATCAGAACATTCGCCCACAGTTACACACTCAGCAAATGCGGGAGGTGGTCCGGGCTTCAGGACCCAGGCTCCTCAGCCCTGTTCTGTGCTGCCGCCCGAACAAAATCAAGAGTGTTGCATTCCCGGGGCTGACGGCGGCTGGACCCGCTTCCCAGGACAGTGGTAACTGAGTGCCGCAAACTGGCTGGCTTATAGCAATTGAAACTCAATCTCTCCCGGTTCTGGAGGCTCCAAATCCAAAATCAAGATGTGGGCAGGGCGAGGCTCCCTCTAAGACCTCCAGAGGAGGCTCCTCCCTTGCCTCTTCCAGCTTGTGGTCACCCAGGCATGCCTCAGTTTGTGGCTGCATCTCTCCGATCTCTGTACCTGTCTTCACACGGCTGTCTTCCCTCTGTGTGTCTATCTTTGTATCTCTTCTCCCCTTTTCGTGAGGACAGCAGTCATGCTGGATTAGGGCCCACCCTAATGACTTCGTCTTAATTACGTCTGCAAGACCCTATTTCCATGTAAGGCCACATTCGCAGACGCAGGGAGTTAGGACTTCAGCGTATCGCTTCAGTGCAGGCGGGGGTCGGACGCAATTCAGCTGCCCACCTAGGGCTGCAAGCTCGGGGCCGAGATCCGCCAGTGTCGGAGAGGTGTTCAAGATTTGCAGCCACCCGGGACCGTCTCCTTCATGCGGTGCAGACTGAAGGAGTCAGGACAAGGGAAGGACAGTCAGTGCCTCTCTGATTTAGTGATGCTTCGTGTCCAGTCCAGGTGCTAACTAAGATCAACCGTCTCCTGCCCCACTACTGGCTCTGTGGGCAAAAGGGGGTAGGGGAGAAAGCTTCCCAGGGAAGGATGGTGGTAGGAAGATGGGGGAAATGCAACCTTCTCCAACTCTAGGCAGGTGTGGAAGGCACAAGCTCATCTCTAGAACCTGCCTTATGTGGCGAGGCTGGGATGCCAGAGAGACTTCATCGGAGGTGTGTGTGAAGAACGAACGAGAGTAAAGACAATAGCGGAGAAATCATTTATTTTCATACTATTTCCATGAAAACTTAAGAACAATCTCTCTTCTAGGAGGGGCTTGGGGAGCGGGTGAGGAGGAGGACTTTTCTCGCTCTGTCAGATAAGGTTGTCCTTGGTTGAAGGAGCCGTGTAGATTTCGTAGAGTCGGGAGGCCCTCATCTTGAGCTCCCGGGCCACCTGGCAGATGGAGAAGGGCCAACAGCAGTGCACGGCGAGCCAGTCCTCACACAGCGTGCCCTAGGGTGAGACCCACACCTCTGTCCTGGAGCAGTCACGCAGGCTCCGTGCCATCTCCAGGAGCCTATCCCGTCCACTGCTTCTGAGTTCCACCAAGTCAATGTCCTACGGGGACACCCGGGGACACGGCTCCACCAGGAGCCCCAAGGGCCAAGTAGCTCAACCGCTTATCAATCCTTGCAGCTCAGAGACCTGGCCTCACTTAGGGCTTCTGACACAGACTTCACACTTGAAACCACTGGTTTCTCTGTCAGCATCTTTTTTTTTTTTTCTATTAGGACTTAATACTTCGAATTACTTTATTTCTTTCCTTGGAGTGGGTAATAAATGCCTATGGTCCAACGTTCTCGCAGTAAGGCGGCACAGGAAGTAAAAAGTACATCCCTCTACCCCGGCTGTCCCCAGCGACCCACTTAACTTATCTGGGGGCAGCTGTTGTTGGCAGGTTTTTATGTACACTTCCAGATAAATTCAATGTCGGCACAAGTACATATATAGTCCTTATATGTAAATAGTTGCGTACTTCTGTGTCTTGTACCTTTTATTCAATATATTGAATAAAATATATTTTTGAATATATATTCAATTCAACTGAATTCAAATTGAATTTGAATATATAGTCAATTCAATTCAATTCAATATTCAATATATTGAATCAATATATTGAAATATATTTTAGGGATCATTCCATTTGAGTAGATAAGGAGATGTCTTTTTTATTTTTAACTGTCCACATCCTGATATGTATGACTTTCTGTTCTCAGTCTCTCGTTGTACCTAGGCTCAGCTGCCCTGGAAAGTGACACTGGCTCTTTGCAGCATCCCCAGGGAACCCTCTAAGTGAATTCTGCATATGCCCCATATTCTTCATTTTCACTTAGACCATCCCAAGTAAATCCTCCAAATTTGGTGCCATTCTACCTGTCATCTTCTCTTGATGCAGTAAGAGAGCGAGAAACAGAAGCGGCCCATTGACCTATCATCAGCATTATAATAGGTACCCCCTTGGAGATGCCTTTCATCCTGTCCATTTTAGTCCATATGAATGAAGCCAGAAATTTCTTCCCTTTCCTTTCCCAAACTCTTCTGCTAACTGTGGTGTTTTTTAAGCATTCTCACTCAGACTTTTTTTTTTTTTTTTTTTTTTTTTAAACCACAGCTTTGAAAGACATTTAGGTTCTTGTATAGATCCAAGTTCACATACCGGTTCAAACACACTTACCCGTATTTTATGTCTCTCTCTGGTGCCAATTCTCAGTGCAAAGGTGGACCCGGGTAACAATGGCCAACAAAGGCACTCTCCATGATGCCTGGCGATGTCACACTCAAGGCACATTGGACAAAACAGACCACAGAAACCTGTCAATAACCACATAAAAGAAAGCCACGGTTCTTAGATGTGCTCAGAACAACTTCACATCTCAAAGAGCATTTACAACCTGATACCATCCTTTGAATGCTGCACTGTCTTCCTGCAATCAGGGACTGAGAATGAATAACCAATTGTCAAAACTCAGTGGATGAAAATTGCCATAACTGAGCCACATCAAAATTGTTGTCTTTTGTTAAACACTGGCAAAGCTGCACCTGATATAATTCTGTTAGCGTTCACTATGGTAATTGTTTTTTCCTGTCAAGAGAAGAGCATTAAATAATTTTTTACAGTTGAATCTTAGCTGTTGCTTCTATTATGTTCATCTATTTTCAATACTTAAAATAGACCCAGTATATGATACTTGTGAATAGCAGGCGTCTTTCTCTGTAAATGTGATTGAAAGCTCTTTTATGGTGCGCTGATTCTGCCTGCTATTCTCATCAGGACTGTATTCTATTTCCCTGGCCAGAAGGTTACTCTCATTTTGCTAGTTTCATGGAGCCACTGACATCTGCCAGTTTTAATCTGTAAACTATTAGAGGCTTGGTTCCTTGAACATCAACTGGAAACAGTGTGAGATTTATTTATTCATTGATCTTTAACTCCTGATACTGTTTCCTACACATTCTGCATGAACCATCTAACGCAGAGGTTCTGTTTTAAATATGTTTTGGGTCGCAGACCCTTTTGAGGATATGGTGATAGCTATGAAGTCACTCCTCAAGGGAAAAGAAAAAGACCCAGACATGCAAAATTTTGTGTTCAATTTCGTGGGGTCCAAGGATCCACTGAAAGCTATCAACAGACTGCAGATTAAGACTTCCTCGTATACAGTTAAGATGTTATATCATATAGCATCGCAAATGAAGATGACCTTGGAGAACACAAATAATTAGGACTATAAAACAGCAAAATAAATAAATAAATAAACACCAAAAAGCTAACCATGACCTTTAACGCATGTATGCAATAAATGGTATTCAGACATAATTTATATACAAGAAAATGAACAGACCGTAAATGTTATGTTGGGTGACTTGTGACAATCACATTCTCACCCAAGTAACAAGTAGAACACTGCCCTCAGAGTTCCCTTGTGCCCCTTCCCAACAATCCCAGCCCTACCATCCCCACTCCAGAGGCAACCACTGTTCTGATTTCTCTTCCCATTGATAAGTTTTGCCCCCTCTTGGACTTCATATACAGGGAGCCATTTTTATTGTTATATCCACCTTCTTTTATTCAACGTCATGTTTCCTGAGGTTCACCTTTGCTGTTATGCGAGTCTGTAGTACGTTCTTCATTGGCGCTGAGTAGTATCCAACACACGACTGTTGCACAGACCGCTTCTCCAGACTCTTGCTGGCTAGTCCATCCTCTGCTATTGTGAATACATACTGCGAACACTCCTGGACAGGCCTTCATGCGGACATGTATTTTCATTCCCTATAGGTGGATTCCTGGAAGTGGAATTGCTAGGTCATGAGGTAGATTTATGTTGAACTTGACAAGATAGAAAGAATTCTCCAAAATATTTGCGCCATTGAACAATCCCACCAGCAACGGATGAGAGTTCTAGTTGTTCCTCGTCCTCACCACCATTGGCTACTGTCGGTCCTTCTGACGTTAGCCATTTTAGTGAGTTTGAAATGGTTATGATCCCAGCCTTTTAAGTGCACCTGACAAAAAGGCTCACATACCAGTGTCACTAGCATGATCACTTCCTGTCAAGGGCCTGTCTCTGTTACCTGTCCTTCCCTCCCTCCCCAAACAGTGGGGCATGCAAAGTCCCACTCCCAGATTCAATGCAAAAAAGCAAAATGCGAGGAATGCTGTTATATCTTAGAAGCTCGGGAAAGATGTTCCAGGATTGTGAACTTCACCCTGGCTCTGAGGGGCTGAGGTGGCACACGTGCATACAGAGAGTGAGGACTCTGAAGGGAGGAGGACAAGGAGCAGCCTATCTTTGAAGACCAGAACATCTATTCCATCCATTCGGGAGTCGTGAGATAATCCACTAAATCACGTACTGTAGGCATCCCTTACTCCAAAGCAAATTCTGAATTCAGCCTTGAGTGAGTCTGAGATGTTTTGCCCCACACTGAAAAAAAAATTACTCCCAGCCGGATCAGAAGGCCCCACCCTGCACCGACCACTGGAATGAAAAGCTCAGAGGACACATGGCCCAGTCAACTTCCTGCGAGTTTATAGGGGTCATAGTGCAGGCAACCCTGAATTAGGAGATATGGAAATCATGGCACAGGAAAAAACAACCAATCAACTCTCATTTAATGCATGGATTATGAAATAGTGCAAATGCCTAGAAATAAAAAATTAATCTAAAATTGCATAATTATAAATATGACAAGCTAAGTAAATAATAAATTGTGTTTACACAATCACCTGAGCTGCACCACTATCACTGACAAGGAGAAATGCCCACCATCCTCAGTAAGTATACTGTAAAAATGTTGCTTTGTGCATTGGAACTCCTGCATCTCAGCTTTATGACTGGTATGTCTTTTTAAAAAATACATGCTGTTATTTTTATTTTTAATCCTTTCCATCAGATAACCATGTTATCTAAGCATTCATTAGGATGTAGTTACTAGATGCTGAAGGCAACACACCAAAACACACATTCAGTTACCTTGGGACAGAAGTCAGATTGGATTTAAAAAAAAAAAAATCACATGAAAGTCGAAATCTTATTAATGTAATAGCTAACATTAGAGTTCACCATGTACCAATCCCTACTAAAAATATATTGTATTCATTAGCTCACTTAATTCTCACAACAATCCTATAATACAGATATTCTTATTGTGTCCATTTTAACAGATGATAAACTGACGGCCAGAGAGACACATTTATTAGGAAGGAGAAGAGGCCAGATTTGACCTAAGGTAGTCTGGCCCCAAACCCAAAGTCTTAACTACTACACACAATCCTGTATGTTCTCATGTTTTATGTATTTATGTTACAATGGTTGTGGATCTGTGTGTTCCAAGACAGTATCCTTACTACCACTAATTTGTATTTATTCCTGTGTGACGCTCTCACATCATGCAACTTTAGGAAAGTTGCTTTTCATCAGATGTTACAGCTCTACATGGTGGAGTGAGAGAGATAAAAATTCCTGGCTCATACTCAAGAGGAATGGGTAAGAGCGGGACCATGGAATGCTGTCTTAAAGAGTCTCTAGGAGAAATTTTTACAGCATAGTTGCTAACTCCTACAAATCAACATATATAAAGGATTAAGCAAAAGAAGAAAATGGGGATAGGACATGAACAGGTAATTTACCAAAAAGGAAACACAAATGGCCAATAGCAACCGTGAAAAGCCAGTTATTAGTAATCAGGGAAATGCATATTGAGAACTTCAGAAACCCCATAAGCATGCCAAGTTTTTCAATATTTACATTGTGGGGAAACCAGAGAGAAATAGCTACACAGTCCTTTTGAAAGCAACTTGGGTGAATCTAGTAAAACTTTAAGTACATTAGGATCTAGTAATTCCACGTGTGAGCATCTACCCTAGAGTAAGAAGCAGTACAGGGATGTCCACTGTAGAATTATTTGCAGCTTGAAATTTAAAACTTCAGTGCGCACTAATAGATGAAAGCATAAATAAGCCATGATGGTATAAATCATACTATGGAATAATTAAGAATGCAGTGAAAGAGGGGCACCTGGGTGGCTCTGTTGGTTAAACATCTCAGCTCACATTTGCAATGACATGGATGGAACTAGAGGGTATTGTGCTGAGCGAAATAAGTCAATAAGAGAAAGACAATTATCATATGATCTCTCCGATATGAGGAATTTGAGAGTCAGAGTGGGGGGTCGTGGGGGGAAGGGAGGGAAAAATGAAATAAAATGGAACTGGGGAAGGATACAAAGCATAAGATACTCTTAATCTCAGGAAACAAACTGAGGGCTACTGGGGGGTGGGGGGTGAGGGATAGAGTGGCTGAGTGATGGACACTGGGGAGGGTATGTGCTATGGTGAGCGCTGTGAATAGTGCAAGACTGATGATTCATAGACCTGTACCCCCGAAGCAAATAATACATTATATGTTAATTAAAAAAAAAAAAAAGGTCTCAGCTCAGGGCACAATCCCAGCATCCTGGGTTCGAGCCCCTCATCAGGCTCTCTGCTTAGTGGAGATCCTGCTTCTCCCTCTCCCTCTGCCTGCTGCTACTCCTGCTTCTGCTCTCTTTCTGTCAAATAAATAAAATCTAAAAAGAAGAAGAAGAAGAAGAAGAAGAAGAAGAAGAAGAAGAATGCAGTGAAAGATTAAGTACCAAGAGAATTAAATCTCTAAGACATATTTTGAGTTTAAAAAAAAAAAATCAGATTGCAAGGGCACTTAGGTGACTCAGTCAATAAAGTTTCTGACTCTTGATTTTGGCTCAGGTCATGACCTCAGGGTCATGAGATCGAGCCTTGCATTGGGCTCCACGCTCAGCACAGAGTCTGCTGGAGCTTCTCTCCCTCAGCCCCTCCCCTGGTCCTGCCCCCATTTCTCAAATAAATAAATAAATAAAACCTTAAGGGGCACCTGGGTGGCAAAGTCAGTTGGGTGGCCAACTCTTGGTTTCTGCTCAGGTTGTGATCTCAGGGTCATGAGATCGAGCCCCACATCAGGTTCCATGCTCAGCAAGGAGTCCGCTGGAGATTCTCTTTCCCTGTTCCTCTGCCCCTCCCACTCCTGCTCTCACTCTCTCAAATAAATAAATCTTTTTCTTTTAAATCCTTAAAAAAAATCAAATTGCATAATGATACATACAGCATAACACTATTTATCGTTTGTTTAAAGTGTTACAAATGAATAGTATATATTTCTAATGGCTACATATGTAAACACAGAAAAAAAGATCTGGAAGGAAACCCTCCAAACTGATTTAATAAAAAAGAACACTCATGATTTCCTTTTCTGTAATGTTTCATTTCTTACAAGGTGAACATATACATGTGT